ATGTGTTCAAAAACCTCTGACCTATATGGCCTTTGGCAAACCCAGCCGTTCAGATTCACAGATTAATTGCAGTTCATGCCTCCATTATCCTGCACCACAAGTGTAGCTTGCATGTTTGAACAGATGTACCACTTTATCCAGAGCAAATTACATTTTGGCAGAAACAGCTTTAATGAATTACTCTGCATTTGCAGTAAGTAACTTTAATGAATGACTTAGACAAAAGGATATGAATGTCCTGGCTAGTCAGATAACTAAAGGTTTTCAAGGTTGTTAAGATAGAGATCATTTTTCAGAATCAAAATATCAAACATACATAATGCATGTCTAGTTCATGTTAACTATCACAAATGACTTAATGGATACAATTTTGAGAGTCCTTTCTTTTCTTTTCTTTTGAGGATTAGCTAGGCAGTGCCATGTCTTATTCTGGTATAATTTGTATCTGGTTATCGAGAAAAAAGAATCATCCTTCTTTGCAGTGATATTTTGTTTGTACACGTGAGTAAGAAACTGCATATAGAAACAGCTATCAGTTTTCTAAGACACACTAATGGATTTGCTTCTGAATCTATTTCATCATAGAAATAGAGACACTCATACAGAGAATGGTTTGAATTCTGCTAAATGTTTCTCTGGTGAGTTCAAAGGCTTGCTAGCAGATGCTGGACACAAGCTTGCAGAGCTCTCATTTCTAGAACCCATCTTACCCGCCCTATTCATCTTTAATATAAACACTCCATCATCAAATACTTTGGTTACCTGTTTAGAAAGTTATAGTTCACACTGGACACAGCATGCTTCTTTGGGGAGGCTGAGCGGTATAACAGAGAAAGCCCTTGATTCAGAGTCCAGCACGTGTGGAATGCCAGCTCGACCATTTACGGTGTCACCTGTGGCCAATTATTTACCCTCCATGTCCCAGTCTACCCATTTGTGAACTACTTCAAACAATCGTTTGATGGAGTGCCAGGTATTTAGAAATCATTAAGGAAAATTTTCTTCTGTTCTTTCTTTCATCTTCCTTTTGAAAATTTTCTTCTGATAATTTAGAAGGAAACCAAATAAAAATCCCTTTCAAACCGTTCTGTGAGAAAGGCTCAGGATAAAGCAAGATTTTGACCTGCTGTTTATAAGGTTGTTATGAGTCCATTCAATGACATCCAATACCAATAAGACAATTTAGAATAAAAATTGAGTATTTAGTTGATTTCCTCAACACAAGATATTATGTGGTTTGGAAAGCAGGTCCCTTGGAGGATATCAGTACACTATAATAGCATGGTTTACACCAATCAGCATAATTCTACAGATGGTGAATATGCTTAGAACATATTGTCAGCAGAGGCCAGTCCTTAGGAAACAATAACATGCTGGGAAAGGTAGGGGATGAGAGAAAGAGAGGAAGACCCCTAACAAGATAGAATAATACAGTGACTGTAACAGTAGAGCATGTCAGAGGTCCTGAGGAAAGCACAAGGTAGGGAAAGGTTCAGATGCATTGTTCATAGAGGTGCTATGAGTTGTAGTCAGCTTGACGACACCTAACAAGAACAACATTCTAAAAAAATAAGTTTGCTTTAGCTCACTTAAAAAAAATCTGCTCAATTTCAGATGTCCACATCTTTTAGAGAAAGAAGCTTGTATAGTGGCAAGAATAATGGAGAAAGGGGGAAACTCCACGATATCCAGAATCATGTAGCAAGGAAATTTACTACAGAAACATAAAAATTTAATGGATTCCCACTCATTATTGACATGGATGGTTTTCAAAGACCAGGGCTTTATTGAAAACATCGGCATAATGTTAAAATGGAGGATGGGCACATCAGATCACACAATGAAAGATGGCTACATTATTATATAACCACCAAATTACATTCTTTTTTCTTTTTTTTCATTAATTTTAATGAAAGTTTACAGAGACTTAGAGTTTCCATTGATTCACTGTTGCACTTTTCTCCCTGCCTACCCCCTCCCCCTCAATTCACTCTTCTCCTTGAAAACTAAAAGAAAAACTCTTTCATTGTTATGCAATCCCTCCCCCCTTGTCCACTCCACCTTGCAGCCTTCATTCTGGACTCCTGTCATGACAATAATACCCATTTATATATCCCTTTTAAACAGTTCTCCCCCTCATCTGTTTCAATGCAATATACATTATTCATCCCCTCCTTTTCTGCCTTCCCGGTTTACAACAGTGGCCCTATGCAATATATGTCCTTTTGTGACTGAGATTTTTCACTCAGCATAATGTCCTCCAGGATCATCCATTTTGTATAATATTTCATGAGTTCTTTGTTTTTCAGTACAGCATAGTATTCCATTGTGGAAATATACCAGAGCTTCTCTATACATTTGTTTGTTGGTGGGCACTTGGGTTGTTTCCAGATCTTTGCTATTGCAAACAAAGTTGCAATAAACATGGGTGTGCATCTATCTGCTTGGGTGGCGGTTATGGTTTCTTTAGGGTAAATTCCCAGTAGGGGAATTGCTGGGTCAAATGTTATTTCTATTTGCAACTTTTTTAGAAAGTGCCATACAGTCTTCCATAGTGGTTGTACCATTTTACACTCCCACCAACAGTGAATAAGGGTTCCAGTTTCTCCGCAACTTCGCCAGCATTTGATGTTTGCTATTCTGTTAAATTTTGCTATTCTTACTGAGATAAGATGATATCTCATAGTTGTTTTGATTTGCATCTCTTTTAGAGCTAGGGATTTTGAACATTTCTTCATGTCAAATTACATTATTATATAACTTCTAAGTTATATCATTATGTGACTGCCAAATTGGATCATTACATTATATCAAAACACTGAGAATCATGGCCCAGTCAAGTTGACACATAGCCATAAGCAGCTCAGTGTGTACTGCTTTTGCCTTGTTTCCTGGTGTTTACTACTGCAGGATGCATATAGTAATGTGAAAAACAGGCAGATAGTAGATTTTTCATTACTGCATTGGGAAAGTCTGCTGTCAGGGACTTCTCCGTAGTACTAAAGAGCAATGATGTCAGTCTGGAGACTAAGGTGCACCTGGTCCAGGCCATAGTCTTTGCAATTACTTGCTATGTATTGGAAAGCTGGACAATGACTAGGGATGATTAGAAAGGGAATTGATGCCTCTGAGCTGTGGTGCTGGAGGAGTATTGAATATACCACGGACTGCTAGGAGAACAAATAGGTTCGTTCTAGAGAGGGTGAGACCAGGGTGCTCCTTGGAGGCAAGGATTCTGAGGAATCTGACATATTTTGGGCATTTTTCAAGGAAGGACCAGTCCTTGGAGAGGGACATCATATTTGGAAGGGTGGAAAGACAGTGCAAGAGAGGAAGACCCTTGATGAGATGGACTGATTCAGTGACAGGGGTAATGGGAATGAGTGTGTCAGAGACAATAAGGTTGGGACAGGATAGAGCAGGGTTCAGGCCTGTTGTAGACAGGGTCACTATGAGTCATGATGCATCACAAGTGACTCAATGGCACATTACAACAACAACAAGAAGAAGCTATCAATTGTTGAAATGCCCTATAAAGAGACAGTCAATAAATGAAGAGTAGGTATATTAATTTTACTTTCTTAAAAAAAGGAAAACTTACTTTTTTCTAGCTTTCTCTTTCTTTACAGACAGAAGAGATGAACTTATTGCTTCAACCATTCCAATTTTGACCTCCCACTCAGTAGTCTCAACTTTGATGCTATCATAATGACGGGGGCTGTGGGGGGAAGCCACTAACTTAATTCTAGACCCAGAAGATCAAGAATTCCTTTGGCAGATAGGATGGAACAGAGATCACTATACGATGAAAGCAAAGAGGCAATATTTAGATTCACAACTAGGATGCTTAGTCATCTGAAAATTCTAGGAGAACCAATTGGTCAAAGACTATTTAAAATGCTTGGTCAGGAACCTATTCAAAAAAGGGGGTTTAGCACAGTAAGAGGCTTCCTGTGAGGTCTGCTGGTCGAGTTTTTTTGGTTTTCTTTATTACCTGAGACTTTCCCCCCCTCCCCCTGGACCTGGCAACACTTCCCTTGCTCTGTCTCTTCTACTTTCTCCTTTAGAATGTGTTAAAATGTAAAGAATCTAGCATGTCCTTGGGAAAAAAGACATCATGCTTGGAAAAGAAGGGTCTGGAAAGGCGAGGAAGACCCTCAGGGGCTGGACAACCCCTGCCACCCTCTGCAGAGTGTGAGGACTGCACAAGATGCAGCAGGGTTCCCTGTGTGTTGGAGCTTGCTACAACAACCAACAACTACAACAGCAGGAACTTCTACATCTCTTCAAATAACAAACAATATTATAAAAAAAAAAGAGAAGTTTTTCTTTCCCCCTTTCCTTTTTGTACTCTTTCTTCTTTTTTAAAATTTTTTTCCTGAATCTGAGCTATCACTCCCTTGTTTGTTCCATTTTCCTGTTCTTTCTCTTTCTACATTTTAAGCTTCAACTACTTAATGGAGAACGTCCTTTCTAAAATGTCCATTTCCTTCAGTGCCAGAGGAAACTGGCTTCCACTTGTCCTCTTCATTACTACCTCTTCCCTTAGGTTTGTCTCCAACTTTCCTTCTATCCTCTAAGGTCATATATTATTTGTGGAGTTAAAAAAGACTGATACTTTCTGGTTTAAAACTCGGAAAGCTCCTTGTACTCCCTTAGCCTAATTTTTAATAGAATCTGTCTTCTAAGGTCATAGTGAGAACCAGAATCAAACTATATATATAGTGCCAGTTTTCTGTGTCACAGGCTGTTGGAGTAAAGCAGAGCTCAAGACTTCTGTGTTCAATGATCAGAGAAACTTGGGTAGAGCTTTTAGCCCAATTCCATGGGGAAACTTTTAATAATGGAAAAAGAAGCCATTCTGCTCACTGAGTTCAACCATTTCAATACAGTCTCCAGCCACTTAGGGATTGGACCACATATACAAACCCACCTCTGTTTCCCACTCGTCTTCTCCCTTCCCATTGAACCTCAACTGACTGGCTACTGTCTTTCTTCAGTTTGAACTTCAGTGGATGCTGATTCATTGTGACCCACTACGACCCAGGAGAGAAACTTGCCATGAGCTTCCAGTCAGGCCACCGGTAAGTTCCTTGGCCCCGTGAAAAAGCTGCTTCTGTCCAGCCTCACTTTCCCTAGCTACTCAACTTGGCTTCTTTAAAGAGTCCAGGAGGACTCTTTTGTATCAACCAGACCAGCCTTAAAGAAGCACAGATCCCATCCACGGTCCTGAGAGGGGAAACCTCCTTGAGTGTCTCCTTCTTACCCTGTTCAGTTGTTTGCGATTGCCCCTCTCTGCCTTCCCACATCTGTGAGGCTCAGAGGATGAAGAGAGGGTGCATTGGCAGATAATGGGAGTGCAGAGTGACGCGCTCATGCCTGACCCAGTGGGTAAAGGGTTAAGAGGGACTGTTGTCATTTTATCCGTCCTCTCTGGCCTGCAAGCTTTCCTCCAATCCCCAGGACCCTCTCCCAGACCCTTCATAAACAGGAGGAACCTGGGCTTCTCTGGCCGGGCATCTCTGCAACCTCTGCTCTCAGAGACGCTTTCTGCAGGGGGGCAAAGTGCCCCTTGATGCCTGTGGCTAGTCTGAAAGCCTAGAGGGGCGGCAGGAGGCAAAGAAAGAGCAGGGAAATCTGCAGACTGTGGGGGGCATGGCCTGGACCCTGCGGGACCGCGGAGCCCTTGGGCTGCGACTGCTCTTAACCATGCTCTGCCTGTGCGTGGCGCAAGTAAGTTGTGCGCGAGTTTAGGGGAGGGAGAGACTTTTCTTACCTTCTCCCTGGTTTTTCTTTTTCTCTTCCCTTGTCCCCTGCAGCCCACTCAGCCCACCGAGCAGGTAAGCAGAGGCGGGAAGTGTTTGTACTTTGCACACTAGGTAAGGTGGAGGTGTAGCCCCCGTGTGTGAGGTGGGGAGGCCCTTTCTCCAGCCTCTCAGTGTATAAATCGACTACTCCTGGCACTTCTGCCAGGGTCGCACTGAAATGGTCCTTTGCTCCAGGAAACAATGCCCCCTTTACCACCTGGGTGCTAACACTGCAGCCCAGGGTGCTTATGGCGCCCAGGTGGCTGGGATCTGGAGTTTAGTTTTTATTGTATGTTACTTCTTATCTCCCCTTTCCCTCTCCCATCCCAATGCTGAGCAGGCCTTAGTAGAGGATGTGGGAATTGAGGCTAGTGGTATCCCTTCCCAGCTCCTCCAGCTCCACAAGTCTGCAGTAAAAGGTACCCGCTGCTAGCCTGCTGCAGTTCTGAGACTGAAGTGGGTTTCTGGCCCTCAGCATGTTTTTAGCAGCTTGGAGCAACCTCAGGCGCCTCCTCCCTCTTGTGCCTCCTCCCTCTTGTGCCGGAGGGGACCCTGCGGGGGTGGGTGAGCTGAGCAGTGGTTTGAGGTTTCATTTACAAAGACCCCATTGTAACCTGTCTGGTCCTTGGAGTTTAGAAAAACAAAGTTTCCCCTTTATGAAAGAGTTTTTTCTTGCCTTTTTTTTTAACTCAGAAGAGAAGGGGAGGGGGAAGTCCCACATTCCCTAAGCCGTAAGTTCATAGTATTTTCAACGCCAGCATTGCCTCCAGCACCATCAAAGCTTAGCTGTTTGCAAGCGATATAAGAGGGCACACTTTAGGGTCACCCTAAAATTTGGTGTCTTTTTGAAGAGAGGTGCAAAGACTTGATGCAAGGGAGTGTCACTGCAGGTCAGTCTGAAATGAGGCCAGACTCCGGTTGTCTTAGCCTTTCTGCTCCACTTTCCTTTCCAAAACCCTTTTCTACACAACTATTCCCCCAGAATTTACTGGACATAAAGCTTTACCAAAAATGGCTGTGACCCAGCAGGTTCACAACATCTTTATTCTTGGCTGTTCTATTTTGATCCTAGCATTGACCTCCAATTACTGATTAAATCGAGCCCTATTTCCATTTTTGAATCCCCTTTAAAGAGAGGCTTCCCTTCTTCTCGGGCCCACTTGGGACAGAGGCCTTGTGAAGCCCTCTCCCGCAGCCAACAGTTGATTCTGTTCAATTCCAGCATTTAGCGTCTTTCAAAATATTGTGGAGCTGAAACCTGCGCTTATTTGAATTTTTGTGACACATTTAATATCTGGATTTCAAAAATCTAGCCGACCTACCCAGGGTAAATACTGAGTCCAGGAGGCATTTCAGGACACTGATTAAACCCAGAGGCTCATTTCCCAATTGCTCCATTAACCCATGTGTCTTTTGGCAGAGAGGACCCCCGGGTGTACAGGGCCCCCCAGGCCCCCCTGGGCCCCCTGGAGTTCCAGGCATTGATGGCATCGATGTAAGTTTTCCTTTCCAGGCCCCCTCCGCTCCTCCATTTCTGCTGCTCCCACCCACCCTTTCTCCAAGTTACTCTGTAAGGGGACATGGCAAGACCTGTTATGTCAAGTTGGGGGATGGTTCCTAGCAGCTCTGGGACTTTGTGGGGAGAGGGGGTGAATAGACGTGCCCTTGGTCTAGAACTGCCCCTCATCTTCCTTCCACTTTGTAGTGATGATATTCTTCCAGATGGTTTCAAGGTCCTCTCCCTTATGTTCTTTCTTTCTCTCTTACTCTAGGGTGAACGAGGTCCAAAGGGTCCCCCAGGTCCTCCGGTAAGCTGATTGTCACCTTTGCACTGTAACTGCCTCCCTTAGCTCTTTTTTGTAGCTGTGTGAATCCGAAGGGGCTAATTTTTGCACCTTTCCCCCCCGTCCTCTGGGTCTCTCCTCGCTTAGGGTCTTGCTGGAGAACCAGGAAAACCAGGAGCTCCGGGCAAGCCTGGCACCCCAGGCGCAGACGTGAGTACGCGTATGTGTGCTGGTGTGTGCACGCTCAAACATGTAAACTATGATGTTGTCTGCTCTTGAAGATCTTCCTGAACTTGGCCTTATGCTGTCTGATAGACTGTATAGTCTGCAAAAGGGTCTGTGAATGTGGTGACAAACAACAGTAGCATTTCCTCCTCTCAGAAACCATAGTAGGTACCTGGCTTTGTAAGCTTAAAAACAGAAAAATTCTCGCTTACCCAGTTGACTCAAAGTTTCACTTCGGGAGAAGTTGAGACAGAGACTTACAGCTGGTAGTCTTCACTCTTCAGTTTTCACAGACATTTACTAAATAAATTTAGTGAAGGAATAGCTGACTATTAAATATTTGGGGAATATAACCTAAAACTATGTAGTTAGTTGACTATCAAGTTCTTAGAAATGCTGGGAATTTCTTGAAACAGTTATACCGTAATAAAAGAGTGGTAACTAAAACCCAGTTAAAGTGCAGCTGATTCCTACTCCTGGTGGCCCTGTGTGTCAGAACAGAACTGGGTGCCTTACAGTTTCAGCTTGTCATACCTTATGTTTTGGTATATATTACCACATCGTTCTTCTGAGACACAATAAATACAAGGCCATTAAATAAACTTGTTTTTTTATTATTATTATTAAATTTTATTAGTTTCAATGAACACTCACAGGGATTCTGGGCTTTCTCTCCTTCATTGCCGCACCATTCTCTCCACCCTCCTCCCCAGTTTGTTCTTCTTCCCCACCATCCGAATGTCTGTTTTAATTGTCCAATTGCCACAGTGCTTGTCAAAGTCAGTTCTGATTAATCTCCTTTGTTGGTGTGTCCTTTGCCATTCCCTATCACTCCTCCCTGAGAGAGACTTCACCCTGATTCATAAGGAAAAGGGGATGGCATATTCTCTTAGCTACTTCCTGCTGAAAAGGGACGCTGTGGGTTTCAGGGTGAAGATCTTCTCTCACTACTCTAAAGGGTCCCTTTGGCAGTAGAAAACACATAGACTATTATGGAGATTGAATTTGGAATTTAGATGCACTCTTATTGATTGTGCTTAGCCATACATGTTCATATCCTTGAAGACGTATCATGGGGGTGTTGCAACCTAGAAGACACAAATTTGACTAACAAGTTATAAGTACATGAGTCAAAAAATTATGTAAAAGTAAAAGAAAGGATTCTTTCATTGTTTTACAAACCCTCCCCCAGGTCCCCCCCACCATGTAGCCCTCGCTCTAGACTCCTGTGATGACAGAAATACCTAGTCATATATCTCTTTTAAACAGTTTTCTCCCTCCTCTGTTTCAGTGCAGTATACATTATTGAACCCATCTTACTCAGTCTCTCCCCAACCCCAAGGACAGTCCCATTCTACAACAGTGGCATCATGTAATATTTGTCCTTTTGTGACTGGGATATTTCACTCAGCATAATGTTCTCCAGAGTCAACCATTTTGAATAATATTGCATGAGTTCCTTATTTTTTAATGCAGCATAGTATTCCATTGTGCGAATACACCACAGCTTCTCTAGCCATTCGTTTTTTGATGGGCACTTAGGTTGTTTCCAACTCCTTGCTATTGTGAACAAAGCTGCAATAAACATGGGAGTGCATATATCTGCTTGGATGTCAGCTATGGTCTCTTCAGGGTATATTCCCAGTAGTGGAATTGCTGGGTCAAATGGTATCTCTATTTGCAACTTTTTGAGAAAGCGCCATACTGCTTTCCACAGGGGTTGCACCATTTTACACTCCCACCAACAGTGAATAAATAAATAAATATTAAATAAACTTGTAAACTGTTATTCAGGATAGATTGAAATTATTTTTTTGTTTTTTTTTTTATTAACTTAAATGAAAGTTTACAGAGACTTAGGGTTTCCAGTCATTAATTGTTGCACTTTTCTCCCTGCCAATTCACTTTTCTCTTTGAAAAGAAAAAGAAAAACTCTCATTGTTATGCAATCCCTCCCCCCCAAGTCCATTCCACTATGCTGCCTTCACTCTGGAATTCTGTAATGACAAGAATACCCATTTATACATCCCTTTTAAACAGTTCTCTCCCTCATCTGTTTCAATGGAATATACATCATTCCTCACCTCCTTTTCTGTATTCTCTCAACCCTTATGTCAGTCCTGTTTTACAACAGTGGCCCTATGCAATATTTGTCCTTTTGCGACTGAGATATTTGACTCAGCATAACGTCCTCCAGCGTCATCCATTTTGCATAATATGTCATGAGTTCCTTGTTTTTTAAATGCTGCATAGTATTCCATTGTGTGAATATACCAGAGCTTCTCTATCCATTCATTTGTAGATAGTCACTTGGTTTGTTTCCAGCTCTTTGCTACTGTTAACAAAGCCACAATAAACATGTGTGTGCAGATAGATTGGAATTTTTGGACCAGAATTTTGTTTTGGGTGCAAAGAAAATGTCTGATTATATTATTATTTTTTTGGGGGGGGTTAATCTGTTATCTTGAAATCTTCTCTTACTATTGACAGGTGCACACATTTTAGAGAGAAGGCTAGACCAAGTTGTGGCTAGAGATGAAGATGAATTACTGGAATAATTGGAGAATAGTGAGAAAAGATTGGTAGTCAATTTTTATCATTTGTGTTACCAACTCCCCCCAAAATAGAAATAATTCAATGTACAATAAGATAATTTGTAAACAATATTTCACTATATTTTAGAGACATTGGTGTTCTCCAGATTTTTAATTAAAATCATTTGTATATTTATTAATTTCTGTAGTGGAAATTTTTTCTTACCCTGTTCTTTAGTTCATTTGACATTTTACCATCTTTCTTAACACTAAATTGAAAATTATATCCTTGAGGATAATGAAGCATAATAACTAGAGGAGAGTTTGTTGTTTGTCTCTGGATGGATTGGAGCTAAAGAAGTTGGAAAGCTCTAGTATAGTCTTTTCTTGATAATTTTTTCTGAGCTTGAGTGCTTTTGTTGATTGCCATTGAGTTGAGCATGACCCACAATAACTCTATGAACAAAGGCCTGAAGCCTTTTTTTAATTATTGTCATTTATCGAAGTTCATAGAGTTTCCAGAGGGATGTTGTTTAGGAAGTGGATGCCACTCCTGCTTCCAAAGACCTTGAGTATAGTAGATCTGAAACTTCCAACTTCTTTACACTTCGTTGTTTGATTCATTATGTTGTTATGTGCTATTGAGTCACCTGCGACTCATAGCAACCCTGTATACAACAGCTTTGAAGCCTGCTCTGTATAAGATATTTTATTTACAATGTTAAAAGAGGATTAATCAGAAACTGAGATGAATATGATTCAATGTTGATTATTCTATGTTAAGTGGAGTTTTAGCAGAAAGGGTTAAAAGGCTCAAAGTGGCCATCTGCCATTCATAATCTTCTTATTTCTGTTGTTTCTTTGAAATGAGATGTAAAGAGTTTTAGTGCAAATTGAATTTTGAAAATGATGAGATATTTTGTTGTTGTTAGCTTCCATTGAATTTATCCAACTCATAACAGACAAGGAAGCTATATAGAGAGCTGCATTGCAAACCCAAACGTCCCAGCTCTCTGGCTGTTCACTTCACCAGTGGCCCTGGGGAAAGGGATAGCAAATCTCTTACCATGAGATTTACAGCCTCAGAAACACAATGGAGCGTTAGCTTAAGTTGTTTTCATGCAAAGACAGTAAGTTGAATTCATAGCAAATAGAATAAAACACTGCCCTGTTTCATGATTTCTCATAATTATTGCTATGCTAGAGCCTGTTGTTGTAGTTCCAATTGATCACAATGAAGGTTCTCTTTCTATCTGACTCACCACTTTATCAAGCCTTATATCCTTGGTAAAGGATGATTCCGTCCAATAACATGTCCAAAGCACATGAGACAAGTCTTACCATCTTTGCTTCTAAGGAGCATTCTGTCTATACCTCTTCCTCTAAGACACATGTTTGTTCTGGCATGCCATGGCTTTTTCACTATTATTCATCAATAGCATAGTTCAAAGACATCAGTTATCTTTGGTCTTTTTAATTTAGTATCTAACTTTCCCATTGGCCCAGTGGTAAGAATCAAGAAAACAAAGATTCTCACCACTGGGAAATAAATGCTATGGCATAACTTTGTCCTATGACACCTTTGATCTTTAGTACTTTACAGAGGCCCTTGGTAGCTGATGTGTTTATGGCAAAACTTGCTGTGATTTCTTGACTGCTCCTTCGATGGACATTGATGTGAATCCAAGTACAATTAAATCCATTTATTGAGATGTTGCTTGGTTCATTTGTGAAGATTTTTTTATATTGAGGCATGATCCACAATTAAGATTATGCTTTTTGATCTTCATCTGTAAACATCTCAATCCTCTTTGCTTTCAGCTAGCAAAATGATGCTATGTACAGATTAACAGATTATCAGTGATTTTCCTCTAATCCAGTTGCTGTGTCCTTTGTCATGTAGTCCACTTTTTCAGATTATTTGCTCTCCCTATGGATCGAATAAGTATTGTGAAAGGATACAATGCTTGCAATAGATATCAAATGTCCCCTTTCTTGCTAAGATTTTGGCTTAAGTTGACTCTTCTTGTCCATTACTCATGGACATGTAAAATTAGAAAACTCAGAGCACCTCTTGCATGAAAAACACAAGTATGTTGTTATCATCAATACCATTAAAAAAGATAAGCCAATAGGTATTATTTTTTCTGTGCTGCTCAGAAACCTCAATAAAACAGTATTCTTTCTTACCATATTCTAAGATGTTATGTGATTACAATAGTAAGTTGTTCTGAAATTCCAGTGTATGTGGAAGTATTTAGACATTAAAGAAATTTGATGGTGCCAAGAGGTAGAGTGTGGTGATATCTAGATATTTTTTGTCTTTAAAAAAATTAGCAAAACCTTTCTGGATTGACGTTTTAAGCTCCATATACCCATCTATCCATGCAGGAATCATGTTTTTTTTCATTATTAAATTTTATTAGTTTCAATGAACACTCACAGGAATCATGTTTTATATTTCATGAACACTTCACAGTATCTAGGCTGAATATGTAATAATGGTGATGATAATGAACATTACTCAGGAGTTACTCTGACAAGCACTTTGTGTGTGATACCTCATGTAATCCTCTAGTGACTACATGGATAGATATTAATATTGTATCTATTTTACATATAATTAAGCAATTTGCCCCTGGTTGTATAGCTAATAGGTGGCCCTGTAAGGATTTGAACTAAAAGATTATGTGGAGGGGAAATTATTGTGTTCTTCCACCTAAAAAAAGGTTAAGATTAGCTTTATTTAAAAATGGTATAGTTTAGAGTAACTTTACTCAATAATGATGCCTGTTAGGTACCAGGGGCCAAGTGTTGGAACAGCTTAAATTTTTCTAGAGTTAATTTTTGAATTCACTATAACATTTGATGAAAATTCATTTTGCATTGAATTCAAAGAATGTCCAAATAGTAGACATAATTGAAATTTTAAGTAAGAAGTGACCTGAAAAAATGTGTGACATTACTTGATCCTGTTTTATAATATTGGAATTCTACCATATGTAGTAGTTGCTCTCCTCCAGTCATAGGTGGAAGAAGATTAACGGACTGTGTGCATGGAATTGACCAAGATTGCTCTTGGAGGGTGTGAATATGAGTTGGGATTTAGAGGCTCTACTAGTTATTACACGCTGCAGCTTATACAATTTGTGTGTTGTATGTGGTGTCAGGGAGTTTTCCTAAATATATGGTTGTGGTATTTTGTGGAATACTTCTACTACCATAGCTAACATTCCATTCCATTTGCAATGAATCGTATTGAGGCAGTTTGCTTTCATAAATATTTACAGCCTTGGGAACCATAAGAAGTAGTTTTCTTTATTTTATTGGATGACTATGAGGCAGAATTGACCCAATGGTGGAGAGTTTGGTTTTGGATTTAGCATGCATGTATACTATATTTGTATACACACACACACACACACACACACACACACACACATCCCTCATTTTGCTCATTTTGTGCAAGATAAATTATCATGTTTGGAATAGTAGGTCAGCAAAGGACAGAAAGATTCTCAATTAGAAGGACTGACACAGTGACGGTAACAGTGGACTTAAACATGTAGAGATTGTGAGGACAGTGCAGGGCTGGGTAGGGTTTCAGAGGATTGTTGTAAAACTGGAGTTACCCAACAGCACCTAAAAACAGCAACTAACAAGGTACACCTTCACGATTATATTGCAAATATCAGTACATAAAATTGTTAAAAAGAAAAAAAAATGCATCCTTTTCAAACATAGAAAGGCAGGTGACCATGTAGTATATCATGCTTTAGTACCTATATTTATATTGTTACGTTTTGTTGAGTTGGAATCAACTTGTAGCTGACCATCCTGCATGTTTTCAGAGACTATAAACTTCTTTTATTGAGGATGAAAATAAAATAAGTACATGTAGAGAAATGAGATGTTTAAAAGATGGGACTCAAGAATTGCTTAAAATTATATATAAGTATAGATGTGTTTTTAAATAGGCTAAAATTCTGCAGAGAGGCATATGTGAATATAAGTATTTTGGTACAGTTACCTTTGCTAAGGAAAATAATGACGAAGCAAAAAACTCTTAAAAGGTAAATTTTAAGTGTTACTGTTCTTTAATAAGCAATTATCATTGCTAGAAGTGGACTAAAGGGCATTAAATGCATTAAATACATCTAGATATAAGGCAATTATGAGGTTATTTGTGTTTAATTTCTATTAAGAAAGCATTTCATTACCTCTCAAGACATTATTGTCTTGTAGTTAGAGAGGTATATTATAATTTCATTTTATACACTAAGAAAAAAGGAATATAGAAATCTTGGTAATTGTTTTTAAGAAGAGCAAGGACAACATGGGGACGGCCAAGTCCAACCTTGTAAAAAGAGCAGGGGTCATGTGGGGACGGCTATATCTGACCTTTACCAATGTTAAAAAAGGGGAACTGTCCTTGGCAACAGCATCAACAACACAAGTTCAATTCCCATGAGGTTAGACCTGTCCCCCACATCTTTTTCTATTCATCCTAATGCCAGTCTTCCTGCTTTACTGGATCCAAATGCCGATGGAATAGCTCATAGACAGCACAGAACCATATTGGTGAAGTAAAATGATTATAATCAAGGTTAGTACAGAATATAGTTAGGACAACTTCCAAAATATGCTAGTGAGTAGCTCAACCTTGAGCCTTGTGCCTTTGGGCAGTGTTACAAAGTTTTCAGTACTGGGAATTATGACCCTTCATAATAGGCTATGGTGGTTCAATGGTAAGAAACTGTGCTGTAATTCTGAAGTCATACAGTTTGAAGGCATACAGATGCTCTTCGGGAGAAGGTTGGGCAATCTCCTCCTCTATGATTAACTACCTTGGAAAATTCTCTTGAGAATTAGCTATGGATTGGTTCTGACTCGATGGTAAACAGCAACAATGGCAACAACCTCCAACTGTCCAACAAACTTGGGCAAAGTCTCTCAGCTCCAGTTCCAATATCATAGCAGTCTCAATGTCTCATCTCATGCCAGGTCTCTGGCTCTCCATGTCATGTCCGGTTTCTGATTCTCTACTCTGGCTGCTATGACTGCCTTTCCCATAGACCCTCCTAGTCTGTCTGGTGCCAAAGGACATACTACATTTTCTTGGTTTTTCTTTTGCTGGTGGGGAAGATCTTTCTTTCTGCTGCTGAATCTGCTCAATTTAATGGTGAGACCATTGTCTTTGTATGATGGTGAGACTAGTCAGTCCACCTGTGTACTTGCAAGACTAGCCAATCCCCTTCTGTACTGATGAGACTAGCCAATCCCCTTCTGGATAGGCTAGCATGCCATGTTCTCATATTACTGTCCATCCACATGGCAAAGTAAAATTCAAAGGCTAGGAAAGTCCACAAACCTCTGCTGACTCCACAATGGGAAACTGCCATCAACAGCAACCACAACACAAAACTAATTCCCATAATAATTCCCATGCCTTCCCATATTCCTGTGCCCACTTACTAGGTCCAAAAGTTATTGCAATGACCACACAAACTTCACAGAGCCATACTTACAGTTATGAGTTTATTAGAAAAGTAACCAGGCTATAAATCAGGTTAATAGGAAGATACAATCCCTTAGACAGTACAGCTTCTCAATTAACAGGTAGATACCGTCCCTGAGTCCAGATAGCTTCTCAGTTACCAGCAAGACACAGTTGCTGGCACAGGGATTTCTGGCCTCGAAAGACTTGTGCTACACGTTTTCTGCTCTTTCCTCCTCCTTGGTGGTGAAGTTTCCACTTTTCTTTTGGTCACTGAATCGGCTTAATTTAGTGGTGAGAGTAGCCAGCCACCTTATGGATAGACCAACATGCCCTATTTGCAAGATGAAGAGATGCCTCACTGAGCTGTTGATAATGTAAGTGGGCCAAGGTTTTTACAGGTCAGGCAGAGTTGAGACAGCTGGATCAGATTAGACAATAATCTAGGGAAGCCAAATTTTTAGCCACAGATTCATTTTACGGCAATGGTAGTATCAAGAACAATTGCCTCAACAAACTTGGAGTATTATACTTGTAATGTTGATTTTTTTTAAATGCAGAGTTCCCCCTCACTTTCCTTCATTGACATATGTTTCAAACAACTATTCCCATACATTGTGTTTTATAAAATTAAACACCGTAGGACTATTGCTACAATTACCCCATCTTTTCAGATCCCTGCCAAATCTTTCCCATTTCCTTTACCTCCTGTTATGTTGATTTTTTTAAGCAGAAATAAATAAATAAAACACTAGATGGTGTAAACTGTTAGTGGTTTGGCTGCTAACATGACAGTTTAAGGTTCACTCACTCATAGATGTTCAAGTCAGAACCAACTCATAGTTGCCCTCTGTTAGGTTTCTGAGGCTGTTAAATTACATGGGAGGGAATTGCTCATCTTTCTCACAAGGAGCCATTGGCAGATTCCAAACACCACAGGCACAGCTTTTGCTTAGCAGCTCCCTATGGACTGTGCCTCTGTACCACCATAGCTCAAATCAACCAAAGAAAACCCTGTTAGAGACCTTGTGGCACAACTTCTGAGCAAACAATAGACATGCTTAGAAGATCAGCAGTAGTGCCAACAAGGCCTTTATTTCTTAGAGCAATCAATCCTGCAAGTTCAAAATGGCAACATTTGCTCGGGAAAAATGCTCAGAAAACAGGAGGGGGTGGGAGAGAAAGATGAAGGAAAACAAGAATCACAGGTAAGAGGTGGGAAGAACAGTGTTACTTTATGGGATCTGTAATTAGCATCATAAAACAAAATCTGAATGAGTGGAAAATTAATTTGTTCTATAAACTTTTACTCAAATGGTGATAAAAAGTTAGTGAAAAACCTCAGTATTTGCATAGTTCTACTCTGACACACATAGGGCCATTACCAGTATCTCCCTCTCATCTATCTATCTATCTATCTATCTATCTATCTATCTATCTATCTATCTTTCTTTCTTTCTATCTATCTGTTGTTAGGTGCCATCAAGTCGGGTAAATGTGTGTGTGTATGTGTGTGAAGTTGTAAATGATGTAGTTAGTACAAAGTTAGAAGTATGATACAATTTATCAACATAAAATGTGTCTGACAAAGACATTTCATGTTAAATGGTGTCTTTGAATGAGAACATAATAATATAATTTCATTATACATTGCATTATATATATGTAAACACTCTAGAGATAATTAGTAAAAGGGAATAATTCACTTAGCAGCCTAAGGATATTAGAATAGTTTTAATATAATTCTAATATAATTTATCTTATTTCATTAGGGATTAACAGGACCTGATGGATCCCCTGGTTCTGTAGGACCGAGGGGACAGAAAGTAAGTTGGCAACCTGATATTAAATATCAAAGTGTAATTTTATTAAAATATTTGTAAACCAGTGAATTTTTAAACTGTGAAGCAGCTAAAATACACATTTTAGCTAAAATTATGCTTATAAATCAAAGATGTAAGTTTCTAAATAATCTCAATATTAATGTAGTTTATATAATTACATGTGCTTAAAAAATGAGATACAATGTTTGTTTGTTTTTTTTTAAGGGAGAACCTGGTGTGCCAGGATCTCGTGGATTTCCAGTAAGTAAATGGAACATTTCCCATCTTTGCTGAAGTCCTGCCATTGAAAATTTAAAATGGAGGTTTTTACATAATAAAATTTCAAAGGAATGAATAACAACTTTCCCCCTTTTCCCCCCTCCACTTTATTTTTATTTCTATTGGTTGACATACAGAATTTGAATACATTGTGTATCATTCATGCACACTGTGTTTCATGCATTTCTACATTCACACTGTGTTTTAAATGATCACCCACGAACATTGTGTTCTATAAAATGAATCGGCATTGATCTATGGCTATTTCAGGTCCCTGTTGGATCTTTTCTAATTCCTCCACATCCCCTACTCCTAATAATTTATCTTGCATGGTAAGTTTCCTTACTGTGCTTCTGGAGTAGAAAACTTTAAGAAATACTTGAATGTATTGCTTACAATATGCATATTTATTTGCTCATGGCAGTTCCCAGTGGACAACTCCTCCAGTCTCATAGAAAGAAAGCCTTTTGTTCCTTTTTTTTTTTTCAAACAACAGTCAATCGAAATAGTTACTCTTTAGACTGTGGCATCATATCCCTTTCTTTACAAGTGGTTTTCTCTCTAATTAAATCAACTAACCAGATACTAGGGATCTGTGGTGGTTTAGTGGCAAGGAGTTGTGCCATGAACTCAAAAGTACATAGGTACATGATTCAGATACACCAACTGTTACATTGGAGGAAAAAGTGGGTAATCAACTGCTGTGTGATTTACTGCCTATAAAAATCCACTGCAGGGGTAAAAAAAAACCACCAAAAAAAAACCCCAACCAACCCAACAAAACCTACTGCAAGGTCAGCTATGAGTTAATTTTGACTGCATGGTATATAACAACAATCAGAAATGATTGTGCACCTCATTCTCTGGATAGTCCTTCTGTATATTTCACAATTTGGCAGATTTGTTTAGAATCGTATTTATAAGAGGATGTGATTCTCATGAGGCTGCTTTTTCTATCTTGTTCTTCATTTCTTTTCTGTTCTTGTCATAAGTCTGTATTTTCCTTCCTCCCCTTTCCCTGTTTGTACTGCTTTCTTTTCCACATTTCAGTATCTGTCAGCTTTTCCAATGTAAACATATTTTCAGAAATGACTAGCTTGTTGGCCTTTCTCTAATATTCCTAAACTCAAATTTCAACATCTTACAGAAATGCCTTAAAGGTGCTTAGTGAAATTTATCAAATAGCTGAGTCTCTGTTAATGAAATTTCTTATTGTTTTGTTTTATTTTCAAGCATAGCACCTATTTCCCAAATTGATCCATATTAATAATAATATAATAATGCTCAAATGTCTGATTTTTCAAAGGATGCCTTGGAAAAATTGACTTATAATTAAATCATATTGCTTACGTGAAATTACTTGTTTTGACTGACAAAGTAATAAGAAAATATAATGTAATTATCAGGGAATGTGCCTTGGTTCCACCAGATGCTTCATATATGGATATCTTAGAGGAGAGAATCTGGCATAAAAAAACTAACATTAATATAGCATTATATGCAGCTATATTAAAAACATCCTTGCCAATAAAGGGAAGAAACAAATAATGAGATTGAATGTGTAAAGCAAAGAGCAGGAATAGGCAGTTCTTGGTGATTGATGTTTACTTTTATTAAGTTAAACAAGCATTTAATTAATATTTATTACATAGTAGACCCTGTGCTAATAATAAGGAGTATAAAAAATGACTAAGGTGTCATTTTAATCGTTGATTGGATGCAAGTTGGTGTCCCTAAGAAGTTATAAAGAAAGAGGCTGAGTGACTAGCTTTAAAATAAAATAGAGCATATTAAAATAGAATCTCATAGATTATATCACGAAAGACACTACTTATTTTCTCTACCTAGTGGATTTGGTGTCTATAGATTTAGTCCTATTTGTACAAAGGACTTAGCTTCTGACCCTTCCCCTCCTCATTTTCCTCTCTGTATTGAATGCTTTTCTGGAGAAGAGTCTAAATAACACTTATGAGTTGAATAGATCACTTTACTATCTTTAATGTAGATGTTTTAGGCTGGGTTCTTGAGAGAAGCAAAAGAAGTGAAACAAATCTATCTATTAATGGCCAGTTACCTTAAGGAAGTGGTTCATGGCTCACACAATTGAGAGGACTGACAAGTCTCAAATCTATGGGTCACATGTCAGACTGGAGGCTTCTCCTGATCTGTGTTTGCAGCAGTTGATGAACCCATTATCGGCAGGTCAGAATATAGGCTGTTGTGTGACTCATTGACCTGTAGAAGCTCACAAATCCTCCAGAAATGGCAGATCAGATGACAGACTGCTAGCCCACGTCCCAAGAACTGGGTGTTAGATGGTGATGAGCCAGATATGAGACCCACAGCAAAGGAATGCCTTGCTACAGTATCTGTATTTTTACTGAATGTAGGTCACACTCCCTAGGAATCTCCCCTTACATCAGAGTGAGGGTGTGACTTGAGTAAGTGTGGAACTCAAGGTACATTCTATGCTAAACTCGCCTTACTAATGTATAAAGATCAAGATATACACTGTATTGTTGTTGATTGCCATGGAGTCCAGCATGGCTCACAGCGACCCTATGAACAAAAGGCCTGAAGGCTTTATGTAACTATTATTGTTTCTCAAAGTTCATAGTTTTTCCAGAGGCATATTACTTAGGAAGTGGATGCCACTGTAAAATGGAGGGCAATCATACAATGCTGGGAATTGTGGTCTAACTTAGTTGACACATAGTGTTCACCATTGCCAGCAGATATGAAATGGTACAAAATAGCAACAGTGCCTTTGAACTGCCAAATTATGATGTGCCTCTTTGTGATTTTGTGGTTGCTGGTGAATTTGCTGGAGTCAAGCATGACTTACTTCTTTACTCTGATTTTCCTAACAATCTTTTCAGAAGAAGTATTACTGTTAAGTTTGGAATCAAAGGGATGTTTGAAGAAGTGAAACAATCTTCTGCTCCTTTTAGAAACAAAAGCATGTGTGCTTTTAAAAATGCAATGCTTATTAAATGTAAACAGCATGCATTAATTTTGTGGTATAGTTTACAGTTTACTATAGAACTGAGTCGTGTCTTTGCCCATATTTATCCTGAGTATAAATTGCTCTTGTTGTACACTACAATCAAATGGCACTGATGCATAGCTGAACCTCCTGTGGGTTTTTAGAAGCAATCTAATTGCAGTAGACTGCCCATCTTTCTCCATTGAGCAGCTGATGGATTTGAATCATATACCTTCGGGTTGGCAGCACACCTACAAGTCATAAAGTAATTTCATTTTTATCTTTTAGGGCCGTGGTATTCCAGGACCCCCTGTAAGTGTCATTTGACTCTTAATTTTTACATCATCCATTAAAATGGCCTATTTATCAAATCCTAACCTTATTCTCTCAACTATCATTCTACTTAGTGATGTCTATAGTATCTTATCTACATGATCTTAGGTAGCTGCTAATGACAGCACCTCTATTCTGATAAATGAACTACTTGACTAGTTAAGGAATTGTTATTAATTTAATTAAAGTTTGATCAAATGTGTTATTGTCTTATATGAAACCAAAGCTAGCATAGATACATCACTTTAATTTGATTATTTAGAATAATTGGTATCATTTATACTAGATTGTAAAAAATGCCTGCAAATTACCATGCGTCTTTGATGTGATGATTTTAGGGTCCTCCTGGGGCAGCAGGACTCCCTGGAGAACTGGGCAGAGTTGGATCAATTGTGAGTATCTCAGGACATTTTGATAGACATGTGCTATTTGAAGAAAAGATTGTTGTCAAGGCAAATTACCTAACTTCTTTTCTTTACAAACCGCAAAATGACAGATGAATTTCATTCCAGTTCATAATATTGATGAATACCAAAAATACTACTATTACCTTGTTTTCCGCAGAGTGATTTTAATTTTACCCCCAGAGTCTAAGCTAACCTGTTCTTCCCAACATCCAAATGTAGAGAGCAAGTCAAAGAATGTCCTCAGAATTTTATAGACTTAAAGCCAGGGTTGGGTGTACTATCTTTTTAATTAAACCATTTACATGAAATGTATGCTAAATAGCTTAATATTATTAACATGTATTTTATATTAAGATTATTGAATGATAAGTGAACCGACAAAATTTAACTTTAGTTAATAAAAATCTGAATTTTGTAGAATGTATTGTTCAAATTGCCAGTAAAAGTGTTTCATGTTAATATTCAGTAAATATTTGAAAAATATGCAATAGTTATGTAAAAGTAGATAATGATAAACTCATTGATGAAATTAACCTCATAGGGTATACCTTTCTTACTCTTCTACTATTCATTTTGTCTGAAAGGTTTATTACTTAACAAATTAATAAAAAGGAAAAGATTATAAACAACTACTCCCTTTGCCCTGAGAACAGAAGAATTGGATGACGTCTGGCTACTCTTATTGGGTATTTTGACACAAAATTCTAGAGAAGAATCCTAATTTAAATGGTGGAAATGCAGAAAAGAATTTTAAATTCTTACGGAATTCAGACTTTTGTTGCCACAGAGAATGGATGAACCCCTGAAAAACCTGCCTTGAGATAATCTTCAAACCAACAGTATTCCCTGAAATCTTTCTAAGACCAAGCTGGGTTAGTTTAAATAGTAAAGAATGTTTGTCTTGCACATTGCACTTTCTAAGGGACTACCTATATAAAAAAATGAGGAAAGAATGATATAGAAAGGAGGATGAGGATGGGTGCACAACCTGAAGGGTGTAATCAATGTCACAGAATGCAAGATATAGAATTTTTATGTTGGGCTGTCCTGTGTATATTCCCAACAACAACAACAACTCCAAAAAAAGATATTAATATGAGCTTCTTATGGTAGAAAATAGTAAGTTGGAAAATATGCCAGAAAAGAACTTTCATGACTCATTAGAACCCATTTTTTATCTTAATGGCTTTGAATTTAGTCATCTTTGATCTTCTGTTCCAATTACAAGATAATGACAGCCCAAGTGATAGGTTGTGAGTGAACAGCACCAGCAAGGCTGGTGACCTCCAGCATTATAGAGGCCAACTTTTCATGCCACCCTTTGGGCTGGACAAGGACTTCTTGGTGAAGTAACCTTGTTTTTTTCCGCCCTATGGTTGCCATTGCCTATATTGGCTACTTTGAATTCTCTGTAAATCGAGCTGAAAAGTTTAGAGTGCTGCCAGTTGGCCTTCAGAGTGGATAAAGTCATCATCCTACAGAGAAGAACTGGGTTTGCTATTTTACTCTCTGTCTCTGTCATGTTTTGCTACCTCAGTGAAAACAGAATGCCTTTATGATTCTGGTTTTGTAGAGCTGATTGGATTATGGGCCTCCCATCGATTTTGGTGGCAGGTCTGTGCATGGCTGAACTCTGTAGGGGTTTCTAGTAATACCATTCTCTCATGCTTCACCAGCTTTGTGTACTTTGTTTTGACATGTGTATAACAATGTGTTGCAATTTTCAAATACCTTAGGGTGACCCTGGGAGAAAAGGACCACCTGGCCCCCCTGGCCCTCCAGGACCTAGCGTAAGTGATTTGTGGCTTGGATTTCTCTTCTGAAAATTGTGATTGAATAGTCATTGTAAATCACCAAACTGCTTACTAATTTTCTTCACTCACTGAGATTATGGTTATTTTTTAGGTCAGAAAAGTAGAGGAATTAAAATAATTTGAGAGTGGAAGGAAAATTTATTCTAATTATATCTGAAGCTCTTTGATGTTTGTGATTTATCAAGTTTTCAAATTTGGGTATATAAAAGGAAATTTTTCAAATGAATTCGTTTTTCCAATGGTTTTGAATTTTTTAAAAAAGACATTTAAGTTCGTAATCCACAATCTTGACTTTATTCAGAATCCCCATATTTTCTATTCTGATGCCTATTTTATCTTACTTCAATCTCTTGAAAGCAATAATCAACTGAAATTTAGGGCTCTTCAAAAGGTATATATGCTAGTCAGATTTTTACTTAGTGGTAAACTGCACTGTAATCTCAAAGGCATGCAGTTCAAATGCACCAACTACTCCGTGGGTAAAGGATGGACAATCTCCTCCCATGCAATTTACTTCCTCTGAAAACCTTTTGGAGGGTCAGCTATGGGTGGGTTCCAACAGAAAGGCACACAAACAACAACAACAACACTTTTCATTATATTTATTGAAAAATAGGTGTTTACCCAGACAGCTACTATTAATTAGATTTGACATAATTATTTTACTATGTTTTTAACCTTAATATTTTATTTGCTTTAGGGAACCATTGGCCTTCATGACGGAGATCCGTTGGTAAGATTGTTTTTTTTAAATTTCATTGTAAGTCAAAGACTATGTAATCTTTGATAAACTGACTTTTAAGTCATTTAGTAATTCAGAGAGGAAATGCCAATAAAAAACATTGGGTTGAGAAAATCTACAACAGCCAATCAAGACTCAGAAGTTTGTGCTTCATTTTTACTCAAATGACTGATTTACAGTACTAGTGAATTGGTGGCATGTTTATACCCAGACTGAAATAGTTTTTAAATATAGAAATAGAATCATCTTTTCATAATTTTATTAGTCTATAAAATATTTAGTTGAATATACAGTAAGGGATGCTTTTTACTACAGCACCCTGATTTTAGGAAATAGAAATTAAGTAATTTCCTGTAAATCTTGTAAGTTATAGGCTAATTTAAAATGATATTGGTAAATGTCATTAAATGTAACTTTGGTCTGTCTTACAAGGGGATATGAACCTCGGGATATTATTTCAGTAGAAGTGGGGAGGGAAATCGGATCAAGTCAGAATAAATAGTAATGTATAATAGATTTTATGTAAACATTTTATTTCTTGCCTAAATTAGACCTAAGTATGACAATAATGTTCATTAAATATGTATGATAGATACATGTGAGGTTTGTTAAATTCTCTGTTCTTTTTATAAGCTTAAGATATTTCCAAGTTGAAAAATAAAAGTTTATTAGGATTATTTGATAAATAAATAATTCCCTAAAATTTACCACCATGCCAAGGAGTGAAGTCTCTAGTTTATATGCTCTCTCTCTTTTTGACAGTGTCCTAATTCATGCCCACCAGGTCGTTCAGGATATCCAGGCATACCAGGCATGAGGGTAAGAGACATAATTAGAATGTTTTGTTTTCAGAGACTATCAACAGGGGGAAAAAATGGAGCCATTGCTTTAAGCACTTGCTTCCAGGTGCAGATATTCCACTTAGATGGAGTAAATTAGTGTCTTGGTTTCCTAGTACTGTGGTAACAAAACAAAATACCGTAGTAGGTGGCTTGAAGGAACAGACATTTGTCTATACTTTTAGAGGTGAGAAGTCCAAATTCAGGCTTAGCTTTAGGGAAGGTTTTTTCTTTTTTGGCGGCCTTGGACCTGCCTTAGTTTGTACAGGGTTTCTTTCATGACCTTTTCCGTGTATGCCTATTATCTATTCTCTACTGTGATTAAGACACCTCTGAATTGATAAGGAACTGCACTGCCAGTCCGAGGACATGTGCTTCGAATCGATCTGCTGCTCTGAGGAAGAAAGATGGTCAGTGATTTACTGCCTCTGAAAATCTGCTGGAGGGACAGCTATGAATCAGTTCTGACTGGAGTAAACAAAATAACAACAAAAGAGTTAAGACCTCTTCTACACTATATGGACTCATTAACATGACAGAAAATATTTATGTCCAAACAAGGCCATATTTACAAGTATAGGAATTATGATTTAGAACTTAAAAAAATATTTTAAATGTTATATCAGTTTATTATTGTTGTTCTCTGTCAAATATTAGATTTTAAAACTAAAAATTTTGTGGTTGACCTTGGTAGTAATCAAGTTGACCTGGAGTTGTTGACCTGTAGAAAGTAGATCTTTTGAATATTTGTACATTTCCCTGGGCAGAACCATTGTTTAGCCTCTGACCCTTCACACAATGCTTTGCTTTTTCACTCTTTCTCATACAAAGCACTAGAGCTCTCTGTTCAACTGCTTAAAATAATACACTATTGAATATGTAAAAAGAAAAAAGGGCAGGTGAACTTGAATGCAAAGGTAAAGTGTTTTAATACATTTATTTTGTAGTTGTTGTTATGAGCTGTCAGGTCTTCTGCGACTCATAGCAACCCTATGTACAATAGTTCTGAACCCTGCCCTACCTATCCTGAACCAGTCTCACTGACTCTGACACACTTAATCCCATCTCCCCAGTTATTGTGTCAATCGTCATCGGGTCAATCCTTGATCACACAGGAGGAGATTGACCATCCTTCTCCTGCAGAGTGGTTGGTGGCCTTGAACCACCTGCCTGCAGGATTGCAGCGCAGCTTCTTGCCACTAGACCACGAGAGCTCCCTAATCATACTTTGTAGTTAGGAGATCTTAGACATTTTACTTTTTCTTGTCTTATCAGGAAAAACACAGAGTAGTTAACTTCTAAAAGTAAGAAGGCTTATCTACCAGACTAAGTGCCTTCTAGCTTAAAATGATTTAACTTAGTTTTCATAGCTGTGTGCAGGTATTTTTGAGCTTTTTTTTACTGAGTGAAAAGAAATGATGGTGAAAAGATGCACAGGTGGAATGTGGGTGGAGTTTTGGCACAGAGCGTCAGGCTCTCAAATATGCTGGTCTATCAATACCGAAACTTCTCATTATAATCTTTTAGGGTGCGCAATTCAATCTGTGACAGAAAGTCTGTGTTCATGGTGCTTATTCAGTCTTAGAAAATCAGCTGGCACTCCTGACAGGTGCTCCTACTGAGTCACAGATGTTTAATTATACAATTCCTCTGTAGTTCAGAGAGGAAATGCCAGTAAAACGCATTGGACTGAGAAAACTGAGAACACCAACCCAAGGTTCAGAATTTTGTCTCCTACGGTGGGAGTTGGGGGAATTATGCATATAATGTATGCTAAACTGTTTTAGAGTCTAAAAAAAATGGAAAAACTGTACAAAATGATCAGGGAGAGACTTTTTTAAAGTTTTTCTCTTACTCTGTAGTTTGTAATTATTTCAGTGTTTGCCATAAAACCCAAAATAAATGCCAAATGCTGAAGATCAATGCCTTTCTGTCTTTAGTTTCTGAGTATATAGTGATTTTGAGAAGTTGAAGATGGATGGAGGTCTGCTATGATCTGAAATACCCCAAGGCACTATTTTCCCTGCTAAAGGAGTTCTACTGGGTTCCCAAGATTACAGAAGACTTGGCCTGGGTTGCTGTCTTTTCTCTCTCTCTCTCTCTCTCTCTCTCTCTCTCTCTCTCTTTTTCTCTTCTGCAAAGATTTTTGCATTTTTTCAAACAAGAAATGTTCTGAAGGGTGAAAACTTTGGCAAACTTAATTTGGTACATTTAGGTCACATTTTACATATGTTATTGCCTGTCTTTTGTTATGTGTTATGTGCCATCGAGTAGGAACCAACCCATAGTTGACCCTCCAGTGGATTTTCAGAGGTAGTTAAGAGGCCGGGAGGAGACTGCCATCCTTTTACCACAGAGCAGCTGGTAGCCTTGAACAGTGTGTCTTCATGATCGCAGTGCAGTTTCTTGCCAGTAAGCCTGTATAAAATGGCACATGGGGGAATAGGGCTGTGAGTGTTTTTCTGATAGTGCCACAGAGTGTGGGAATAGCACAGTCTCTCAGTACCCCAGAGTAGAAAGCATAGAGAGCTCATATCCCAACCCCATGGTGCCTCTAGCACCAACCAGCAGCAAGAGATTGTCTATTTATTGTTGACTCACAGACTCACAGTTGTGTATCAAGAGTGGGGTTTATTAGAGAAACAAGCCAGAGAGTGGAGGAGACAAAGAATACCTCATAATTAAAATTCAAATTTTAGCCCAACAGTTCCAGTGCACAATTCTTCAATTAGTCCAGGCTCTGGTTTCAGCAACACAAATTCAAGAAGCCTCTGGTTTCTTCAATCATCCAGCATCATTTGCCTTAGAGCAGTTATAAATCAGCTTCTCCTTCAAGCATCTGGCAAGAACAGCAAAACCTTTAACTGTAGCCAGCACAGATGCAAGAAGCCTGAGGTCACACCTTGCCACAGTTTCTCTACAGCATGCCACAGTTTCCCCACTACCATCACCAGGGTCTTACAAACAGGGTCTCCTTCAAATTTTGCCACAAATCTTGCTTACTTCAAATCTTGCTGTCCAGTGGAGAAACACTCTTTCTCTTATCCTAGTCCGCCACCAGTTGACGATTTGCAAGACCATGCTGATTTGCATGCCTACAAGTAGCTGGAGACCAGAGAGTGCTAACTGTTATGGATTTTAAAAAAAGCAATTGTTTTTAGTCTAACACCACTCTGTCCAAAGCATGTTACTTGGAGAATGAACATCCTGATAAGAAAAGATGGGAATCTTCTTTCCACGCTATATGATTTCACTAACTGCACGTTACTGCTTTCTCTACACTTGAAAGCAGAGAGCACCAGAGGAATGTCTATATCTCATTGACTATGCAAAGGTGTTTGCCTATGTGGATCACAAAAAACTGTGGCTGACTTTGAGAAGAATGGGAATCCAGAACACTTGATTGTGCCTATGCAAAACCAATACTTGGACCAGGAGGCAGTTGTCAGATTAGAGCAAGGAAATACTTCATGGTTCAAAATTGGGAAGGTTGTATGCCAGGGATGTGTCCTATCTCCATACCTTTTCAATATATATGCAGAAAAGAATTATCTGAGAGGCTGGGCTCTGTTAGGAGAAATGTAACATCAGGATTGGAGGAAGACTCATAAGCAATCTGCGTTATGCAGATGACAGAACCCTGTCTGCTGAAACTGAGGAAGACCTGAAGCACTTGCTGCAGAAAGTCAAGGACTGCAGCCTTCAATATGGATTGAAGCTCAACATTAAGAAAACAAAGATACCACTGGGCCGATTGACAGCATCATGCTAGATGGTAAAGAGATTGAGATTGTTAACAGCTTTAGTTTGCTTGGCCCCACAATCAACACTCTTGGTACCAGAAGCCAGGAAATGAAAAGACAAATTACATTAGGAATGTCTGCTGTCAGAGACCTATCCAAAGTACTGAAGAACATTTATGTCAGTCTGGAGATTTAAGGTGTACCTGATCCAGGCCATAGTCTTTGAAATTACTTGCCATACATCAGAGAGCTGGACAATGCCTAGGGAGGATAGAAGGAGAATTGATGCCTTTGAGCTATGGGCTAGAATACTGAATATACCATGGACTGCCAGAAGAACAAACAGGTTTGTCTTAGAGAGGGTGAGACTAGGTTGCTTCTTGGAGGCAAGGATTCTGAAGCTTTGTCTGACATACTTTGGGCATGTTGCAATGAAGAACTAGTCCTTGGAGAGGGACGTCATGCTTAGAAGGGTGGAGGGACAACGCAAGAGAGGAAGACCTTTGATGAGATGGATTGATTTAGTAACTGGGGTAAGAAAGATTAACACAGGATAGAGCAGGTTTTAGGGCTGTTGTGCATAGGGTCTTTATGAGTTGCAGGCAACTTAACAGCACATAACAACAACACACTTTAAATTCTCCACAGACATTGTGCATTTGGAAAGGTCTACCTTATACCAACCCTTCTTTCTTTGAGGGAAAAGATGAGTATAGAGAAGGCAGAATGGCTTTCAGAGCAGTTTCTAGAGAACAAGGGATGGCCAGATGAAATGGGTGAGGACTCTCCCCTTCAGGCAGTAAATTACTTAAGCTGAAGACAAAGTCCCTCAGCGCAACTGAGAGAAGAGTTAGGGACATGAAAATCTAGTGAACAGTGGGCACTTATGAATGAATCATGCCCTTGAATTAGGTAATAGTGTTTTACTATTGTAAAGCAATTATTTACTACCCACTAAAATGGATTTTTTACTATATATAACAGTCATTTAATATTCATGGATTATTGTAGTCATCTAAGGCACTAATTTTTTTGGTGGTCTTACCATTTTCTTAGTAGTATATGGACACAGTCATGAGTGAAGTCATGTTATGAGCCCTCTGATCACTTTCTGTGTTGAATCAAATACAATTTTTATTTATTTCTGTATTTAATAGGGTCATAAAGGAGCAAAAGGAGAAATTGGTGAACCAGGAAGACAAGGACATAAGGTAAGAAAATGGCTATTTCATGTGTAAATTATGGTAGAGGGTTTTGATTATTTAATTGTAAAGAATTTTAAGAAATTATAAGGACTAAAGAAATGCATTTTTCCCTCTTTATTTTCTCAGTGATGACTGATAAGTCTTCAGTAAACACGTCAACATTGTGACTGAGTAATCTAAAATGTTCAAGTTTAAAAAAAGAGGAAACGTTCTGCATTTTAATTCTTTCTTTTGTCTCTACACTTTTCAAATCAATTACACTCAACTTTTTTTCCTTGATTTCTCTGATCATCAGACATTATTCAGCTAGTCATTCCATTCCACTGAACAAAATTTTATGACAAGTGTAAAATTTTATGACAAGTCTTGCTGAGAGTAGCAAACTGAACAGTTGGTAATTAGTTTATAACTTATCTCTAGTACTGAAATAGTTGATGTTTATTTCTGACTTCATTTTAATATAACATAGATTTTTTAGTCTTCTGGGGGTTTGTGATAGAGATTATTATCTGAATAGAAAAATAAAGTTCAAGCACAACTTATGTTGAATCTGGCATGTTCCACAGAAAGACCAAGGCTGAAATCCAAAATGAAGTTACCTGATTTTGTTCTTTTCACGCACTAGGGCAAATTGGCTTTAAATATCAAAGAATTTGACTTCCTAAATATAAGAATTTTTGTCCTCATTAATTTGACAGTATTTCTCAAATTAAAATTATTCCAAATAGTAATCATCCCCTAGATATTTTTTACTATGCTTTTCTATAACTTTTATTGAACACTGGCCAGAAGATTAGTCTTTTTCTTTGGAAGTCAAGAGCTATACTGATTAATCTTTTCAGGCATTAATATCCTTGAAATCTTTTAAATCAGTCTTTTAAGCAACTTCAAATAACCAGGGGAAAAAAGTTAAGGAACTGTGCTGCCAACTCAAAGCACATGAATCTAATCCACTAACAGCTCTGTGGGAGGGGCAGTCTCCTGTAAGATTGACTGCCTCTGGAAGTCCACTGGAGAAACAGCTATGTGTTGGCTCTAACTTGATGGTAGATAACAACAACATTATCTTTTAAGGGAGCTCTGGTGGTATAGTGTGTAGAGAGTCAAGCTGTTAACCTGATTGAATCCATCAGTGGCTCCTTGGGAGAAAGTTGCATCATTTCCTCCCACATTATTTACAGCCTCTGAAAATCTGTCTGCTGGAGGCTTAACTACAAGTTGATTTCAACTTGAGAGCAATGAGTTTTGGTTTTTTTTTTTTAATTACTGTTTGGTTGTTTATTTAAAAAGAAAAACTTTTCTTACTTACAAATTTAAAGGGCTCTGGATCTTAGGCTTTGTTTAGTTGAGCCATTTTATATATCTGGAGTAAAACAACTGGCTTCCTGATGTTAGACTGGAGAATATTAGGGGGAAAAAAGCTTAATACTTTGATAATTTTACTGTGTGCTCAATTCTTCCACTGAATTTTAAAATTTGTAATTTATTATTAAAAATATTTATTAATTACTTTTAATGTATCTCAAGGTTTATTTTTTAAATATTTTTTTATTTTATTATCTTTGTGTGTGTGTACGGTCAAATCAGATCTGACTGGTACAGGAGGAGATTGTCCCTCCTTCCCTGGCAGAGCATCTGGCGGATTCGAACCGTGCACCTCTGGGATTGTAGTTGCAGCTCCTTGCCACTAGGCCACCAGAGCTCCCCTAGGTTTATTTTAAAAGCTGGAGTCACAAAAGCGAAATTAAGTATGCCCAAACAATGGGATTGCCAATATTAAGTAAGGCCCATTACAGAATTTTGTATACCCACAATAACTGGATACATAATAACACTACCACATAGGGTGAAATAGATGTACTGTTCTTCGGTTATTTTAGGCTGCCCTTCATCTCTTTCTCCATCTTCAGTAGATCTGTTTTCTTCTGGAAAACTTTGAAGACATAAATTATTAAAAAACTAAGTGTAAATGATTTATGTATAGACTAGTTCTTAGTTTTGTATGTTCTAATGTTCCATTTTACTACTGCTGCTGCTAACTTTCTTTTTTATTGTGAAAATATAAGTTGTAGAAAGAAGGTAGTTAAGTTTAAATGTGTAAAAGACACAATAAAAATGGAATTTTTGTGTAATTATGTAAAAAATATTAAAAATAATTTTCCCATAATTAACTTCCCAATGTATCTATTACCATAGAAAATGTGAACTAGCATATTTATCAGAATAAAATGAAATCTTATTATCAATGAGAAAATAACTTTCTTCAAAATAAAAAACACAGTATATCTGTAAGGGTCAGGAGTTCGGCTTCTTTTTGGAATATTCTGATATCTTAAAGGACATAATAGGCTATGAAATTAGTATTAAAATTGAAAAGTAATAATTAATTAGAAAATATAATGTAAGAAGATTCTTTGCCATTGATAACTGGTCAAAATAGTTTGTTGTTGTTGTGTTGTTTGATGCCATTGAGTCATAGACGACTCATAGCGACCCTATGAACTAACAGCCTGAGCACTATTCGTACAGAGTTTCCAGAGGCAAGCCATTTCAGAAGTGGATGCCGCTCCTGCTTCCAGGCAAAATAGTTTAGAACAAGGTAAATGGGAGATGCTAATTTCTGATATGAAAGAAAAAAACAACACAACAGCAAAACCTTTCTGATTAAAAAAACCCCTCAAACAAAATGAGCCTTGACTAAATAGAGAAACACACATAGTTTGAAGATAGAATAAAAGATTCAGTGTTCAAATATTTCAATTCTTTCCATAGTAGACAAATTTAATGTGGTCCTAGTACAAAGCAGATTTGATTTTTGTGATGAGTTGTCCAACAATTCTAACATCCATATGAAAGGGTCAACATTAAGGAAAATCTGAAAAAATAAGAGTTAACTATAAAAAAAGGAAGGCAAAGAAATTCTGTCTGCTATTATACAACTTCAATTATTAAAATATTGTGTACTATGACATTATACAACAGATTAGTAGAACAGTATAGGGAATCTAGAACCAAGTCTATTTAACAATTTGTTGTTGTTGTTGTATGCCCTTGAGTTGGAACTGACTCATAGCCGACCCTTCAGTGGGTTTTTAGAGGCAGTAGATCTCACAGAAGGAGATTGTCCATCTCTCTTCTGCAGAGCAGCTTTGTGGGTTTGAACAGTACCTTTAATATTGCAGTATAGTTTCTTGCCACCAGTGTCCCAATCTGACAGTTTAGTATATGTTAAAGATGACCTTGCTAAAGTTGGTATTGGAAGAGGTTGTCAAATACTTGTATAAAGGTAAATTTCTACTATATTTGGAGTTACACTGCCAATCCTAAAGCATGTAGTTTAAATCCACCAGCAGCTCCAAGGAAGAAAGATGGGCAATCATCTGAACAATTTGTTGTTGATGTTGCGTACCATCAAGTTGGATCCAACCCGTAGCTGACCCATCAGCTGGTTTTCAGAAGCAGTAAATTGTAAGGAAGGAGAGTTCCAATCTCTCTTCCATGGAGCAGTTGGTGAATTTCAACCACCTGCCTTTGACTTGGAGGCATACTTACTGAGCCACCCATGCAAGTTAAAGCCCCTGAAAACGTATTGGAGGGTCAGCTATGAGTCGGTTGGTGACTCCACGGAAATAAATTTGAGTGAGGTTTTTCTGGTGTCACATATGTTAAACATTTGTCTGTCTGTTAACTGAAGGTCAGTGGCTTGAGTTGAGGAAGTCTGCTCCCTTGTAGATTTATAGCTCTGAAAACCTAATGGAGTAGTTCTTCTCTGTCTAATAAGGTCATTGAAAGTCAAAATCAACTCAACACCAGTGGACGTATAAAACAATTTTATAAAGTACTCAAAGTGTAGAAAAGTACTGAACAGCCCATGGACTGCCAAAAAAACAAACAAATTTGTTTTGGAGAAAGTGCAGCCAGAGTGCTCTTTGGAGGCAAAGATGATAAAGCTTTGTCTCACATACTTTAGGCATATTACTAGGAGGGGCTGTTCCTTGGAGAGGGACATGATGCTCAGAAAGGAAGAAGATCAGTGAAGGAGAGGAAGACCCTCAACCAGGTGGATTGACACAATGACTGCTTCAATGGACTCTAAAGTGTTAGGAAGTATGAAGGTGGCACAGGATAGGAGAGGGTTCAAATCTGTTGTTATTAGGGTCCCTATGGTTCATACTCGACTCAATGGCCTCTAACAACAACAGCAAAGTGTAGATCACCACACACACACACACACACACACACACACACACACACACACTTTGTGGTGGAGATCTGTTTATTATGAGTGACATCAATGGTATAACACATGAAAAAATAGTTACTTAAATACATTAAAAATGTCTGTAGTGTAAATATGACAGTAAGAAGTGTGAAAATGCAAACACAATGGTTTTGAAAAATACTTTATGATTTTAAAAGCTGTGGAATAGTTTATATAGTATGATAATATTTTCCTAATAACATGTTCACATACACAAACACACATTGAGCGTATATATTATATAGAAAAGGAAAAAAAACCCCATAAAATTTTACTGGTATTTATAGCTAAATGTTGAGATTTAGATGACTTTGTTTACATAGCTATCATGTTTTTTAAATGTTGAATATGATTGCCCCATATGAAATAAAGAAGTGTAGTAGAATAATTCGTAGAATGACATGGAGTTCAATTGAGGCTGTTTCTATGTTCTTTTGCTAGGATAACATTTGTTGTGTGTTTGTTATTTTTCAGGGTGAAGAAGGCATGCAGGGAGAACTGGGAGAGGTTGGAGCTCAAGGACCTCCAGTAAAGTATTTCTTTACAAATATTTAACTGGGATACGAAAAGAGCTGTTTTTAATGACTCTTGGAATATTTTCCATTTAGCATTTGTATTAATAGCATTATTATATTAACATGGCATTCTTTATTTTGCTATTTAGACAGCTTTGGGAGATTACCATTATTTTTAAATAGGAGAAGTCACCATTGTATGTTCCAGTGTTTTATAGCAGAAATTTCTTTCTATAATTACATACATTCATTTGCTAAGTGCCAGGGCCAAGCAATCTGAAATGAAATCTCTCTCTTATTCTATAGTACAATCTTGTGATATAATGAGAACATTTTGTATACTCTGAATATGCAGTAGGTATATTATAAATTGGATTAATTTCATTTACACAGGTATGCAATTATTATAATTCGAACCTTCTTAATTGCCCATAATCGTGCCTTTTAATAAAAAGTCCCTGGTGCTTTGGAATATTAGTTCAGTGATGTGCAATAAGCTAATCCGGGACACCAGAGCACGTCAATATATTTGCTGAGTCACAAAGGGCATCACTTTTGTACTATATGAAAGTAGAATTTTTATACCTATTATTATGAAAATGATTCATAACAATGGGAATAATTGTTTTAGAATACTTGTCGACCATTTCAGTTAGCTATGGCATGGAATGTGCAAAAGATAAACTCAGGCCCTATTCTCAGAAATGGAAGAGTCAAGGACTATTTTTGTGAGCCGGGGGAGATTGACTTCTTAGACAACTGACCTTTTCAGAAGGCTTCAGAGAGCCTTGAAGATTAATGTTTACTTACTGTTAGGTGAATCTAGCCAAAGGAAGTCAGTCAGAGAATCTGTAAGAAGTCATCTCTGTTTTTAACCTGCATGAGAATATTTAAGAGATTGTATGGAGGCATCAACAACCTGCGTTATGCAGATGACACAACCCTGCTTGCTGAAACTGAGGAGTACCTGAAGCGCTTGCTGCAGGGGGTCAAGGACTGCAGCCTCCAATATGTATTGAAACTCAGCATCAGGAAAACAAAGATTCTCACCACTGGGCCAATTGGCAGCATAAGTATGGATGATGAAGAGATTGAGATAGTTAGCAGTTTTAGTTTAGTTGGCTCCACAGTCAACACTGTTGGTACCAGCAGCCAGGAAACCAAGAGACAAATTGCACTGGAAAAGTCAGCTGTGAGGGAACTCTCAAGCGTACTCAAGAGCAACAATGTAAGGCTGGAGACTAAGGTGCACCTGATCCAGGCTCTAGTCTTCACAATTACATGCTATGCATCAGAGAGTTGGATAGTGACTAGGGATGATAGAAAGAGAATTGATGCCTTTGAGCTGTGTTGCTAGAACAAAAAGGTTTGTCCTGGAGAAGGTGAAGCTGGATTGATCCTTGGAGTCAAGGATTCTGAAGCTTTATCTGGCATACTTTGGGCATGTTGCAAGAAGGGACTGGTCCTTGGAGAGGGACATCATGTTTGGCCGAGTGGAGGGGCGGCCCAGGAGAGGAAGACCTTTGGTGAGATGGATGGATTCTGTGAGTGGAGTGGTAGGAATGAGTGCATTTGAGATGGCGAGGTTGGCACAGGATAGAACGTCATTTAGGGCTCTTGTATATAGGGTCGCTATGAGTTGCAAGTGACTTGATGGCACACAACAACAACAACAAGGAAGGAGTCAGAGAGCTTACACCAGAAGCTGGTTTTCTATGAGGCTTTAAATATGGAACAACAAGGAACTGGATAATTTTAAGGGTGAGAGACAGTGATACACAGTATCAAGAATATATACCTTATGTGATAAAATTTGGTAGAAGCTTAGAATTTTCACAAAGAACTTTAGGACATGATTGTGGAATCAACATTTTAGCACATTTTCATGGATTAAGATCTATAGTGGACAAGCAGTCTGTTGGAGAAATTGATAGTGTTTTTTGACTCCTAGTATTTGAGAATGGTTAAGTCCAAATGTGTGTAAACTTCAGTGATTTTAACTTTTTTAATTTTTTTTATATTTTATTATTTTTGTGTGAGTGTACCGTCAAATCTGATCTGACTGGTACAGGAGGAGATTGTCCCTCCTTCCCTGACACAGCATCTGGTGGATTTGAACCGTGCGCCTCTGAGATTGTAGTTGCAACTCCTTACCACTAGGCCACCAGAGCTCCCCAAAAGTGTGATTTTAACTTTTAAACATACATGCATCTGTAAGGAGCCCTGTAAGATATATCTTACGTAGGCACTTATGTGTCTTAGAGAAAGTAAAGCCAGAGTGGTCCTTGGAGTCAAGGATGGCAAAGCTTTGTCTCACATACTTTGGGCGTGTTGCTAAAAGAGGCTAGTCCTTGCAGAAGGACATCATGCTTAGGAAGTGGGAGGGATGACAAAGGAGAAGACTCTCAACTAGGTGGATTGACACAGTGACTGTAGCAATGGGCTCGAGTGTGTCAGAGATAGATTGGTACAGGATAGGACAGAGTTCAGGTCTGTTGTTCATAGGGTCACTATGAACCATACTCAGATTGATGACACCTAACAACAACAAAGAGTCCTGGTAGATCAGTAGTAAAAGTGCACTGCTGGTAATAGGAAAACTGGCAGTTAGAATCCACCAGTGGCTGTTCCACAAGAGAATGGCAGGGCAGTCTGCTTTCATAAAGACAACCTTGAAAACTTTATGGAGCAATTCTACTCTGTCATGTATGAGTTAGAATCAACTCAATGGTAACAGGGTTTCTAAAGCAAAATAGATACATTTTAAAAAATGTGCTTTTGGGAATATTTGTACACAGGTTCTACCTCTCAAAGTAGTAACCTTAAGAGACTACAGAAAGTTTTCATGTCACTGCTGATAATTAAAATTTTTCTAAATTTTCTAAATTTTCTAAATTTTCTTGTACATAAAAAGGTCAGCAGATGAACTACACACAAAAGAGCAGTGCTAATCTGGTATGGCCAGATCTTATTTTTTAACCTAAGTGCATATCCCTGCATGCTTACATTTCTGCTCCCTCCTGACTGATCTTTGGTGACTTGCTGTTTGGACAGTTGGTCATAGAATTATCCATTTTTCTCCAAATAGGAACATCAGAGAAATAACGGGCCTAAAGCTACTTTATCTTAGCCCCATGTGGACCCTTACCAAGTTAACTAGCAGGAGTTATTCTGCTTTCTAGTAAAGTAACCACGTAGAAGAGTCACAGCTCTCAAAAGAGTAGCCAGGCTTCCCTTTTATAGGATCCATTTCTGGAGCCCTAAACGCTGTGGATCCAGAGTCAAGAATAATGAAATCTCACTATTGAAAAAGGATTCTGGAAGTCACACTTGTGACGCCTCAGTTTTGAGGTTATCTCGTCCAGTGCATAGAACAAGGTGGATGGGTTCCTACTGTTCTGTTTTGGAATTCAGAAGGCTTTTTACCCTAGAAATGTGGGATGAATAGTGCCTATATGTGACTAATACAGATGACAGCTTCATTGATAAATCATAAACTTTTGTAAGTCAGCCTGGAAACTTACTGTTTTTGATGGCACACATTGGTAGAGAACATTTTTTCCAAGTTATAAAGTTACTATGTTACAAATGATGGAAAAGTAGAAATAGTAATATAATTTCTATATATAAGTCAATAAAATGTTAGTAAAATACATGATTCTATTCCCTCTTATACTAATGATATTTACTTTTTGTTATCAGTAAGTATGCCAATTTCAAGTTTTTGTGTCTTCCAAAGTTTTTAATAGGATTGTACCATTAGAAAAATTCTTATTGGGCTTTCTAAAGTAGAAAAATTTGTCTGGTATTACCATTTCCTGTTCATACCATACTTAAGTTAAATTAAATTGACATGTAATTATTTCTTAAATTTAAGTTTCCATATTTCTTACGAAACATGTTCTTCCTCTGATTCAGCTTTTGTGATGATATGTGCATCTCAATTAAAATACAATTTTTTTCCCCTTCTCATGTTTCTAGGGGGCTCAAGGTTTGAGAGGCATCACTGGCATCACTGGGGACAAAGGAGAAAAAGTAAGAGGATGACTATAATAATATAATATAAAAAAGTATTATATATTTGAATTTTTGTCCATTTAAAACTGACTTCTTATTTTCAGGAACTTTCTTTTGATATTTTGAAACTACGTCTTGCACTTATGTCAAATATAGATGACAGAAATAGTACACATGGTACTTTCCATGTATATTTTAAAGTGTTTTGGGTGAATTAGAGTAATGATTTTTTAAAAAATTATCTTCTAGTTAACATTGTAAATGACTTTAATATGATTAGCATAGAAAATCCTTTCCCCAGACCCACTGCATCTGCAGTACAACTGGTTAAGTGAAGCAAGGGTGGGAAGGAAGATGTGAGGAAGGCAGAATTCCCCTAAGGATACTAGGATTATCCATGATTACCTTCCAAGCTGACTGCTGAGCCCTGAATCTGACAGGAATAATCCACTTCTGTCTAGAGTATACCAACCTACCCTAGCCTGGTCTCAGATTCCTTTTGCACTTCTAAAACAAGTCATTATGCAAGGTACTAGAAAGAGTAGAAGAGGAGTAAGACCTGGTCATTGCTGTTAATAAGTTTTTTATTTACTGGGAGAAGCAAACAAGGAGATCATTCTCTGTAATGCAAGCAGGAGAGACACAAGCCTGAGAACAAGAAGTATGAGAGAGTGCAGAGAAAGAAGTAGGTAACCTTGATGGAGGAAATGGCGAGGTTGGCAGCATGGCTTCTTGCCACTAAGCTCCCTTATATAAAGGAAGGGATGGATGTTCAATGAATGCTTGACTTGGAGGAATAAGGCAGAGTGTTATTGAGGGACAGTTGAGGGAAGGTAAGAATTGAGTGACTGTCCTAAGCAATACTGTTATATTTTATAATTTTCTGTAATTTTTTATAATTTTGAGAAAGACACACAGACAGAGACAGAGACACACACCAAGTATAGGAATATGTCTAAAATTATTGTGTTTAAGAAAATAACAACTTTTTCTTAGGTTATTCTCTCTTAGCATGTGTGTTGGAAAAACCCACTTTTTTGCCTCAGAAAACGAAAAGAACTATCTTCACCTACCAGCGTTAATCTTACTCTGGCCTCATTCTCTTTAGAGTCTCTGGATTTTTGTGCCAACATCACATAGAAGCATAAAATCCTTTATGAACAAATAAAGAAGAATAGTGTACATATTGTAGGTGCTGAGTAAATAAAATTAAATTTCAAAGAGAGGCACACATATGTGAACAGAAGTCCTGCCTTAGTTACTATTCTTTCCTTCAACTTCAGACTTTTTATTTCTTTCCCCTTTCTGCTCCTAGGTGTTTTTTTTTATTTATTAAATTTTATTAGTTTTAATGAACATTTACAGAGATTTTGGGTTTTCATTCATTCATTGTTGCACTGTTTTCTCCACCCTCATCCCCAGTTCGTTCTTCTTTCTGCCCCCCCCATGTCTGTTTTAATTGTCCAATTGCCACAGTGCTTGTCAAAGCCAGTTCTGATTAATCTCCTTTGTCAGTGTGTCCCTTGCCATTCCCTATCACTCCTCCCTGAGAGAGACTTCACCCTGATTCATAAAGGAAAGGGGATGGCATATTCTCTTAGCTACTTCCTGCTGAAAAGGGACGCTGTGGGTTTCAGGGTGAAGGTCTTCTCTCACTACTCTAAAGGGCCCCTTGGCAGTAGGAAACACATAGACTATTATGGAGATTGATTTTGGAATTTAGATGCACTGTTATCAATTGTGCTTAGCCGTACATGTTCATATCTTTGAAGATGTATCATGGAAGTGTTGCAGCCTAGAAGATACAAATTTAACTAACAAGTTAAAAGTGCATGAATCAAAAATTGGAAAGCAATAATATTCTGAGTAGAGGTTCTAATAGTGGCACAAATCAAGTTACAGAGGTAAGGTGCTCCTAGGTGTTTTGATTCTGTCTGCCATTCTCTCTAGAGTATTTATTTTCTAAAATTACTGTATTTTTTATGAACATATTGAATTTATTCGTGTTTCTAGATTCATGTTACCTTAAATATTCTGTATTTGCCTGCTCCTTTATTGAACAGTAAATCCCATTTATTTTGAAGTTGCTGATACTCGAGCCTTCCCTTTATCTGGGTTTAAATCATCTCTTCAAATGTGTGACCTTTTATTTGAAACCAATTACTTTTCTCTATGTGCTCTTTATTTGAAGTATTTTTATGCTTGACAGTTTTCAAACTGTCTCATTTCCTCTGATTTCTACTAAATTGCTTTTTTCGGGGAAGAAAAAGCTCTTCTCATGAACTCAGACTCATGGAGTGGTTACCTAGTAATAGCAATAGTGGATCTTAGCTAGTGCTACACAGCACTATGACAGAGTGAGTGCACCAAAGAGATATCTATAATGCAAAGGCTGGGCTCCACTTATGTAACACAGGGTGAGCAATGAATTTAAACTGTTTTCCCCCAGGCCTTGCAAATCTCTTCTTTCCTGATGAATGTAGAATGTTTTCTATTCTGCTCTACATCTTAGGGATCAAAGAATTTCAAAGCTCCCTGGTATCCTTGCCTCAGCTGTGTTCTTTGACTCTATCTATGTCTGAATCTTCTATCAAAGTCTCTCTAATTTCCACTTCTCACTACACAGGCTGTCCACTTGAATTTCTTGGCCTTATAGTTAACCAGTACTCTTTTGACTGCTTTCCATTTAATTTTATGACTCCTCCACTTCAACTCTGTTCATTAGGAGACTTTTGATCGGTTGCCCGTCTGCCATCTCATTATCTTAATCGATGAGAAAAAGATTTAAAGAAAGGGTTGTATTTTGTTATGTGACATAGTAGGTCACATTTTAAAAACACCAGATTCTCATTCCAGAATAAAAATTGCATTCTTACAATAAAAACAAGAGGGTGATGTGTACATGCCACAACCAGGTCAGAGATAATTTCAAAGACAATTCGGTTTACAAAACTCTGAGTGGTTGTTATGCCATCCTCTCTTGAGGAAATAGAACAGCTACTCTGTGTATCTGATTTAAATTGAACCAAACATCTATTTCATATTGGAAGATGAGACACCCAGATTTTTATTACAGTTCATTCTTCTGAATGATATTGACCTGAGTTCTGATTCTGATTCTAGATTAAAGATCCTGAATCCCAGAAATCCTACCTGCCCACACCTTATTCCTGAGTTGTAGCAGTAGAAATGCTGCGTTTTTGGGTGGTCTATGTGGTCACAGTCAACACTCTTGGCACCAGTAGCTAGGAAATTAAAAGGCGTATTGCCATGGGAAAGTCTGCTGTTAGGGACCTCTCCAAAGTTCTGAAGAGCAATGGTGTCTCTCTGGGGACTAAGGTGCATCTGATACAGACCATGGTCTTTGCAATCACTTGTTATGCATCAGAGAGTTGGACAATGACCAAGGAGGATAGAAAGATAATTGATGCCTTTGAGCTGTGGTTCTGGAGAAGAGTATTGAGAGTACCATGGACTGCTAGGAAAACAAACAGATTCATCCTTGAAAGGGTTAAACCGGGTGGCTCCTTGGAGGCAAGGATTCTGAGGCTCCATTTAACATACTTTGGACATGTTGTGAGGAGTGACTGGTGCTTAGTGAAGGACATCATGCTTGGGAGGGTGGAGGGACAGCGCAAGAGGTGAAGGACCTCTATGAGGTGGATTGATTCAGTGACTGGGGTAATTGGGATGGGAGTGTCAGAAAAGTACGATTGGCACAGGACAAAGCAGAGTTTAGGGCTGTTGTACATGGGGTCTCTATTGGTCGCAAGCGACTCGATGGCACATAACAACAACAACAACATGTGGTCATCACCATTAATGAATCCCCACAGGCATAATGAGAATGCCAAGGGGGTAGCTCTACTAATAGGATTACCAAATTCTCTGAGTAGGGTTACCGTTGTTTATAGTGAATGGATGCAGTTTAAATATCCAGTAGAGTAGCTAAGATGGCGTTTAACTACTTCTTGGGTGGAGAGCAGAGGCAAACTAGTGTTTTCATATCAGAGGTATGTGATCAAATACCCTTAGGCTGCACTGACAAATAGAGCATATATGAGAAGCACAAAACCTCCTTTTCATTTGCCTATTGGTATTCCTTAGAAAGATTGATGTGGCCTTTGTCATATATAACTGACTTAATTTTATTTGTCTGATTTTTTTTTTACAGGGTGCTCGAGGCTTAGATGGAGAACCTGGGCCCCAGGGTGTTCCAGGTTCCCCCGTAAGTAATTTTCCCTTCACAGAAATTAATGATTAATATATATATAT